GTATCAGCGTGAAATTAATGTGAACGCGAATGAATTGTACGTCGCTGTAATAAAAAGATAAAGAGTGAAAAAACGGAAGAAAAAAGATTACCACGAGGTTTATGATTTTTTAACATTCAAACGTACGTTTATATTTCCTCTAGAAAAATAATATCTATACATATATTGTTAACGTTCATCAAAATATGTACAATATTGCCTAAAAGTTTGATATCACTTGCTGATTTTTATTTGTACAAAATCAAATAAACATATAAATTTTGAAATAATTTATCGTTATTAACTAAAATATTAACAAGTTGAATTATATTTTTATGAAATTCCACGATTTTCTTATAACGTAACTTATTTTTAAAGAAACGCACATTCTGAACTAATTGATATTAATTGTCACAAACGTAAAAATTGTACATGCGTTATTGAAAAATGAAAAATATCACATATGGGCTATTTTTTTGGACAAAGAATGAACGTCCTCATTCTAAACGGCTCGAAATATACCGTCAGTTTTTATTATAAGATAACAATTAATCGCTTGTATACACTATTTCATAACACTTCTAAACTCGGAAATACGTGTCATGTCAATTCGCTTAATCTTCGACGAAAAATCAAAGAGATATTGGACGTGCACTCGTCCTGTATTCTAGTAACGCGTAAATGTTGTAATTCGCCGCGATTTTTCTATCGCTTCCCTTGCTCGATGTTTCGCTGATTGATCGACTATACCTACGCAATAGTATAGTACATACACACACACACACAGATATATAAATATCGACGGTATGTGACGTGCGCTATCGTCGGACGATCACGAAAAATTTCACCTTCGAAAAACATTCGTCTTTTTCACATTCGTATTTCGCCTACCTGCTACGTATTTTTCCATGAAAAAAAAGAAGAGTTAGAGAAAGACATACAGAGAAAGAGAGAGAGAGAGAGAGAGAGAGAAAAAGAAAAAGAAAAAGAAAAGACATCGTTTTGAACGTACACAATGCGAATTACGAGAGGAGCACTTTTGAAGCAATTTTTCTTGTTCTTTTTTGTTTTATTAGTTTTGTTCAACTGGGAATACCAAAAATTGCGCACGGTGTTGCTTACTTTACGACAAGAGCCGTGAGCTTTTTCTCGCTAAGTTGCATTATGCGACGATTCTACGATAGCTTGCATCAGGACAATGAAAAAGTTAGAAGGATTAATTAAACAAAAAATATATATATATACATATATACGTATGTATGATATATAAATAAAAACTAAGAGAAAGACAGAGAAATAGAATGAGAGAAAGAGATAGTTATATAGGGGAAACGAAAAATATTCATGCATTCGAGTTCCGCTTGGTGTGATACGTGCTATTCATAGAATGGAATGTCTAAAGCGTGTAAACGCAAACGTTCCATGATCTTCCACTATATGACGGGTTATAACATTTTTTTTATGCTGACCATACGATAAATACTCAAATTTTATCTCTATCTCATTCTGCCTTTTATCAATTTTTCTATCATTTTACTCACTTTAATTTTTTTACTGAATGATAAAATAAAGAAAAGAAGGAATAGGAAAAACAATATGGGATGAAAAAAGAAAGAGAGAGAGAGAGAGAGAGAGAGAGAGAGAGAGATATTTTAAGAGAAAAGTTTGATTCGTGGACCGAAAATCGTTTTAGCTATCCAAGTATTTATCAATGAAATCCTCGATACGCGAAATGTTTTTCATTCTTTGATAGATTAATTTCGAATTTTCAATTCACTTGCCGGTTTAACTTGTTTTGCAATATTCGCCAAATAAACTAAAAGCAAAACTAAAGATAAAAAATATAAAAGATATCTTTTTGTTTAAGAGAAATAAATCGATAATTCTTGACATAAAAACTGGTTATTATGATAGTAGTCTAAGTCATTTGAGATAATATTGAAATATATTTTATATTTTATCCGACATTTAACAAAATTGTGTTATTCATATAAAAAAAGTATTATTTTTAAAAAATAAATATATTTTTATTTCCGTTCGTTATTATAAAAATTACTATTAAGTAAAACAAGAATATGTGAAAATATATCTGAATATAAAATATATGTTTAAATAATGATTAAATTATTTTTTCATAATTATATATATATATATAATATGAAACATTTAAAGGAATTTTTAATTATTTAATCCCGCTAATGTGTGCAAATTTTGTTGAAAAATCGATAACGTATATTACGTTTTTTCATTATACAAAGAATTTACTGGTATTTTATTGTAAAAGAAAGAAGATTTTACGTACAAATATGATATTTCTGACTTTTGCTTACTTTCAATAAGGGTTAAAAGTAAACTTAAAAGAAATCACAGTAAGAAAGTGAAGAAATTTATCTTTTTGGTGGACCACTTGTCCAATATCACTGTCGGATGTTAAGTGAGAGAGAATTTCTTCTACGAACGAAGCTACGTATTTTCAATAGCATTTGAGACTAGTCTTCGAAAATAGAACACTATCGAAGAAAGACGATTTTAAAGAAAACACACGGTATCTTTGAACTTTTCATCAAAAGGCTTCTTTTAAAAAGTATTTTGACAAGAGAAAAGTACAACGACGATTCACCTTTGACAACCGATTTATACTTTGGGAAAAATGTAAAGTATAGTAGATAATACATACAATAATTTATATATATATATATATATATATATATATATATATATATACACACATACATACATCATACATACATATACGTATACGTACGATCTCTTTAAATACGTTAGCCTTTTAAGGAGTTATCGTAGAGTCAGAAACATACTTTCCCTCATTTTTAACATTTTTCAACATAAATCATAAATTTTCTCCCAACCATCAACGATTTATCATTGTCCAGAAGCGTGCTATTAAAACTGTTCACGTAATACTAAACATACGAAAACGTGGACGTCCTATTTATATGTGTATATATATTTAGGTGTATTTATATACACATACACAGTTTACTCACGGCTGCTTGAAAAGTCACGATCGCCAATCGCGAACGTGTGCTTCGCGTTTCAAAGTTGAACGAACGAGAAAGGCATAGATGGGAATAAACTAACTGAAAATTCGAAGCATTCCGTTCATTTTCATTCTCCATTTAAAACGTGTACGATATTTATAATTACGATTACGGCGAGTATATGTATATGTGCGTAAATTAAATTAAACATTAATTCATTAAGAAAATTAAAAAAAACAAAAAAAAGACAAAGACGAGCTTCGATTTGCGAGGAAATTCGATTGATTAATAATTGAAGGACGAATTTTAGTTATATATATATATAAAAAACAAAAAGATAAGTTGTTTGGTACCAACTTCTATTTTTTTTTCATCCTTTCTGTCTCTCTCTGTCTCTTTCTTTCTTTCAAATTTTCCAGCGGATATTATCGAAATAAAAAAGATAAAAAAGTTCTGGATGGAGAGGTTTTTCTCGCAAAGTGACTGCATTAACAAACCATCCCAAACGTATCGCGATGACAACCAATTCAAAGGATGCTGTATGCCATTGAAAAAAATTCATTATCCGTGCTCACCAATCATAACCTCAGCGACTAAAACGAAATGTGTCACGTTGCGACTCGTTATTACATTTATTTTATTAATTTTAATAATGGCTTGCATCTATCGGATATCTGGACAAAACCTACCACATTTCTCGTATCGACGAAGGATTGAAGAAACACCACGTTTGGGTGGAACTTCGATTCCAAACTCGAACCCAAGCTGCAATCCAAATTCGAAACCACATTCTAACGAAACCGATAAGACAGAAGAAACTCGTACTAATCTAGGTAAGCTCTTTTAGAAAAGCTCAATTTTATTTTAATGAAGATTGATTTCTCAATGTGTAAAAATAACAACAAATAATTCTTTTTTCGTTTCTTTTCTATATTTCTTATCGATATATATATTTCTAAAGAGGAAACTGAAGATACAGATATGGATAAATAAAATTTACTACTCATTGTAAAAGAATAGAGAACAAAAATAATGTAGAAAATTTTTACACAGGATATATATTATCTGTACAATCGGTGAGTATTATACTAACGTTTTTAATTACATTTTAATGAAATCTTTCACATCGATAAAACGTATAATAAAGATCGGATTGTTTTATCTATTAGTCTTCCTTCCATCTACACTTTTTACATTATCTTTGTAAAAATATTGAAAGAGATAGACCAGTATATTAAGATAACGTACATATACCTAGATATTACATTACGTATACAGATATATATACCCACGAACGACAATATCGATACATTGATATTGGGATTGGAAAATTCTATCTCTAAACGTCCAAAGAGAGCACGGTGTAAGACAATTTTTTTCGATAACCTCGAACAGAAGTTTATTTTTATTTAAAACATATGCACGCCAAAATTTACTGAAATGCAAATTATTATATAGTACTATATGTAAATTGGACAAAAAAAAAGAAAAAAAGAAAAAAAAAAAGAAATATCAATACATATAACGAACGTATAAATAATTAATTTAAAATATTACATTGTACCCCTTATGCAAATTTGAAAGGAACAAACACATTGATATACCGAGTATCCTATTTATCTTTTGCACCCTCTTATACTAGTTTCTTCTGTATTCTATATTTCCGTGTAAGATAAAAGTGACGTAAATATTTTTTCGCAAAACACCAAATGCATGTAACGTTATTTTTCAACAAAATATGAGAATAGTTATTTACATGAAATATTTTACTATATTTAAATTTGTCCATTGTAAAATAACTTTTGTAAATACACTTTAAATGAAAGTCTATAAAAACACAAGAAATTGAGGAGTGCAGAAAATAAATTAAACATCCCGTATACGAGAATGAGTTGAAAAATAAAAAGACTATTATTTTTCGAAATAAAAGCTAGTTTAACCGAATAAAAAAATTGTTTCTCTCTTTTATGTTAGATTCAAAAATTTTCAACGTATTATTGTATTTACACTATCAGTCAAAATTATTTGACTATCTTTTTTATCGTTATAAATAAAGAACAAAAGAACCGATAAAGAAAACGGTCGTTCAACATGTATCTTCCATCAAAACATTTTACGTCATATTAAAATGTATTATATTATGATTTATATTTTATTTTCTTTTTTTTTCTTTTTAATGACGAAAAGATTTAAAACACTCGATCCATTGTTGAACAATTTCCTTATTAGTAAAATCTTTTTGAAGTAATAAATTAAAATAGTCTAATGAAGTTGATGATAACTGTTCAATTAATCGTTCACGCGTTATAGAAAAATATTCACTTATAACAGCGTCAACGTAAATCATCAATATTTCTTGAAGGAAACGTTGATCTTGAGATGGTGTTGGAGTATTCATGATTAAAATGATAACAAGTTCGATAGCAGGCGAACAATATCTCATTGTTTGCCAGTCGATCATTTTCGCATCAATTGGTCGACCGTTCTTCTCGCGTTTGAACAACAACTTACTTTTCGAAAAATCACCATGACATATGCATGAGATATCATCAATATTCGTATTAGTTTCTCTCGAAGTCTCCATAAAAACCTGATTACTCTCCCATAATTTTTTCATTTCTTTTACCAACAATAAATTTTCTAAGGATTCGTCGACTTCATGGACCCTGTAAAAATTAAATGAACACATTACATTATTTTTTTTTTATCAAAAGATTGTTGAGATTTATAAGAGAAAATAAAATTAATGTGAGCATTAAATGAAAATATTTAACAAGATTTCTAATATCGTCATTAATTAAAACGATACAGAAAAATAATTTGTAAGTTATAAAAAGTGATGGGACTAAATGAAAAATATGTAATCACTCGTTATGTGACTTACTTACTCGGAAACATCGTTGGTAACGATAATATTTGAAAGTTTCATGTAAAATTCGCGAAAATGTTCAAACTTTTGTGCTTTCAATCTTAAACCAGTCCCATGAAACCTTCCAAGAGTTTTCACAGATAACTTCAATTCTTCATCGTCCATTTCCCGTTGTTGTTGAATCGTTTGATATCCATTCGCAGTTAAATCCTCGAGAACGATGACCGGCATTCCGTATCGTCCCATATCCGCAACATAACACTTTGGAAATTGATCTGTATTATATACCGAGGTCATTTTACTGTAAAACATTTCTTCGTTTTGAAAACGCGCGAATGAATTTTCCGATTGAACTGACGTTGGTAGAAGCTTTATGATTAAAGGAAAAGCTTCAACTTCACCGGAAAATCTAACAAAAGCTTTGACTCGATATAATTCCCATGGTTTTGTCGAATCTCGATAAGTTTCGATTAATTCAACAATTGCTGAGTCGAATTCAACGAATTCACGTGAACCTGATTCGCAGAAACATCGATTATAGACCATTTCTGGTAAAAGATCTGTTTTAATGAACTTTATATTCTCTTCTTGCGATTCCTTCATCATCGTAGTCATCATAATGAAGCGTAAATATGTATACTCTTTGATTATAAAAATATATTTCGTTCATTCGTATATATACGTTGGTTTTCAAATGAAAATACTGAAATAAAATACTGAGAGCAATTAAGGACAGTAACGATAGTGGCAGTGGCAGAGGTGGAAGTGATTGCGGCCTCCTTCTCGTTGGAACTCGTTTAAGTTTTCGTACCCTCGTAAATTATACTAACTTTTTCGATGGCGACTCGACTCGACATACCGTCGTCACAACACGCATACACCTACAAACACTCATATATAGACATATATATATATACACATGTATACACACAATTTAAAACGTGCTTCCCGTGTTTCCGCAAAAATCGAACGATGATAACGATTATCTTTCTGGAATATCTGCCGAGTTTAATTTGGTCACACTAACACTAGTTAATATATGCACGTGTTAAATGTATAAGTACATATATATATATATATATAGAACTTTTTAGTAAAGTATTCTCGGAGCAGCAAACAGCATATAAATTGCTCGTCGAACTTGTTCGTTGATTCTCCTTTCGTAGATTTGAAAATTCACTAAATAAATCGCTATTAAATGACGACTATTTTGAGCCAGTTGAAACTTTAAATTTTTATTAACACGTAATCTAAAGATATATTCCCAATGGAGTATATTACTTTCTATAATAGGTGTTGAACGACATTTAACGATTACATTTTCTATTAAGTACTTGAATATTTATCGATATACTATTATATTTCGTTAATCGTACGTCAGTAGTATATCGATATTAAAGATTATATCGGACGATCGATTTAACTATTATTTTCTAAAGAAATATGTCATTATCCGACGAATATTTCAGTAATACTGTGTAACGTTGTAATTATTGTATCTAAATATATCATATAATCGATTTTAGAGATAAGAATTTAATCATCACACAAAAACAATCATTTAAACATCTCTACAATGTTATTTATAATTTTTTTTTTTATATTTATCGGTCTTCTCAGTATTCACTTATTTTTGTCGATCATTTATATTTTTACTATATTGTAACATACAATTAATATTGTTTACTGTACCTGATCACTAATTATTAATAAAATAAAATGAACGAACGCGAACACAAGAGCGGATAAAATTCACGATTTCTTTTCAAACACGAGTATATGTATATAAATAATTATTATAATATTTATTTGAATACAGTTGTGTTGTATCTTCGTCTAATGTATTATATTAGTACGACGAAACGAGAACTGATGTGAGACTGAATATGAACTTCGTACAGTATGTTTTCCCCCACTAATCGTCCAATTTCGAAATAACAAGCCGTTCGCATCTCACAATCAATGTCGTCACAAACAAGTTTACGGCTCGTCGCTTCTCATCTACAACTAACCATACAGTTATCAGTTGAACGTTCTGCTAGATAACAAACGACTTTATATTTCATGATTGATAAAATGATATAATATTCTACTTTTTCAATATTAATAATGCAATATTAATAATTATACACGAAAATAATTCATATATATAATATATAATAATATTATAATAATATAAGTATTAGTAGAGTACAGTATAGTATTAGATATACCTTAAATGATTGTCAATTAATCAATGGAAACGTTTATTGTAATCTAAAAGCACAGAACCATCCTCTACGAAATTTGCCGTTAGACTGATAGTTTGACAACAGTAGTATATGAAAATCGATCAAATTTCTTTTGTTGATTTTTCGTTATATGACTTTTCCAAGAAGACAACGAGAATAATATTTGTATTTAATAGAATTTAAGATTATAATTATTTTATTTTTAACGTTGTTTTAACGTTTATATAATTATTTAAATAAAAATGTATTTGTTTAAACATTTTAACATAGTGCGGGCTTTTAGCTTGAAGTTTTCATTTAAAAACATATCCAATTAAAAGTATTTCGTGTTCAATGTATGTATCTGTATAAATACAGATTTTGTATAAGATGTATAAGAAGTTGTCTATTTTCAGGCGCGACGTATGTTTATACACATTAATAATTTTTTATACTTACATCAATTAATTAGGGAGATATTTTGATGATACTTACAAATTTATTGTCAGTGATTCGTTAAAATCGAATTATTCAATAAAATTTAGAGAATTGATATAACGATACTATGATACCATCGATCACTTACGATACTCGCTAACTTCATATCTATAATAAAAATACAATACCTAAACCAAAATCATGTTTCAAAATTATAAATAAACTTAATAAATTCATCTGAAATGTTTTTATCATTATCCGTTAAACATCCGTGTAACATCGATCGTAATAATATTAATTCATCTTAACTTATTATTAATAAAATAATAAAAAAATATATAAAACGATAGAGGAGTTTGATGTCACAAATGAATCCTTGTCAATCAACAGTACCTTTACAAACTAATCCAAATAATTTTCAAACGTATCAGCAAACGAGTAACCAACAAAGCACGCAATGCACCGCCTGCCCTGGGAATTCTCAAGGTAATTCGATCAGAGAAGCCTCGTAACTTGTTCGTTCGTTCGATCGATTATTTAAATAGAATTTATTCACTTCAGGACAATATACGCAGGGTCCGTTCAGTCAATTTTACCAACAAGAAGGTTATTTGTCGGGAAAATATCCTTGTACAACGCAACTGCCAACAAGCACTAATAATCCTTGCCAAGGGATTCCTTGTCAAAATCAAATTTCATCAATGCAAACGCAAGCAGCTAATTGCGGACCTTTACCTCAAAATATAATCGATCAGATTCGTTCGTGTATTGCTAACACAACACCGATCTTTATTATTCCTGGTGGTTGTCAGCAACCAGTGGTAGCTACTCAACAAGCAGCTTCAACTCCGGGTATATTAAATCCTTTGGCAACTGCGAATAATCAATCTTCGAGTGTACCACATTATATTTCTTCATCACCACCACCAATCTGTCCACCTTCTTTCTATCCTTATCCAATTCCTTTCCCTATATTCGATCCATTCGGAATGAACAAAAGAGAACAGCAAAAAAATTGCGGTTGTTCTACAAGAAGTAATGCAGAATTGATGGGATTAAGACAATGTCCACCTTTATCTTATTGTTCCAATTCTTATCAAGAGGAGGAACATCGTTGTTCGGAAACCACAGATGACACCATCTGTTCCAAAAGAAATTGTCCCTCTGCAATAAGTCTTCAAGCTTTAGCATCTCAATTGTTGTCCATACAAGGTATCGTTTCTTGCACAGCTACCCGATTACTTCTCAGAAAGATACCAGCCTCGAATATAACAACGTCGATGGAAGATACAATGGAGAGAGCTCAAAGATCTATCAACGTTCTCAATAAAGATCAATTGTTAGTTGAATCGAGAAACTCTCAACAAGTGAACGCTCTGATAAATCTTCACATGACTGCAAATCCACCGGCCAACATAATCCCGATTCTAACGTTGGTGCAACTTAAAGTGAACGTTTTGAAGGCTCTAGTCGAAAATCTGATCAATAGAAAATTGATGGAAAATCAGGGTTTGGAGGTAGGATATACAATTTTCTAGTTAGGATTAAATTTCGTTAACAATTGTTAGCAAATTAATCATGAATTTAGGTAGAAGCTACCGATTCGATAGATCCAACAATTCTCGCATTGAAAACCGATGCCGAACTTCGTGAATTTTTGGTTATTTTAAAACAAAAGGAATGCGACGAAAGAGTTAACCTCAATTTTGCGCCATATCGTTCTCAACGTGTCATCGCTGAGAACAGGTTGAATAACGTTCAGAAAAAGATTCAGCAGGTCGAGCTCGAATTCGAGAGAAGGAGATGCAACGTTGTACCATCGATACCAATCTCTTCTCAAATCGTACGGGAATTCGCCGAAACACCTTGCAATTTTTCAAACTTAAGTTATCCAGGCCTGATGAGTCCTACGATACCAGAAAGAATGGAAGAATCGCGAAAATCTCCAGATCCTTTTGCGATTACACTCAGATGTCCGAGAAAACTTCGACTTAAACCTCACGTTGGTAGTCCCGATGTAACTTACGATTATTCGAACAAAAAACCGACACAAAGAGAATCCACGAGCATTGAAAAAAGTTCTCAGAGCGAACCAACGAAGGATAAAAAACATACCGATTGTCCGAATCGTGAGATTTGTACCTGTTACGAAGGAAGCTCCTCGGAAGAGAGTTTGGAGGAAGACAAAAAAAAACTTCAACTAAAAATCGACGAGAGAGGAAACGTGACCGTGACGAGCAACGCTAAACTGAAGGATGTGTCCTTCATGAAGTTAGCATCAAACGTTTCTCTTCAAACGAGAAAGCCCAATGACGTTTTCGAAAAGAGAAATCGTAAGGTGAAATCCACTCCAAGCGAGATAGATTCGAAGGATTTCCGTAAACCGTCCTTGCTCGTTGTTCCGAAGGTCGAAGAAATCTCCGAGGTAACTCAAATCGGTGAGCCTTTTGCTAACATCGACATCGATCTTGTGGCAGACGTGAAAGCGTACGACACGGTTAGTGAAAACGAAAGGGAAAGTTTCGCGAGAGCTCGTTTGACTTTAGAAGAGTTCAAGGTCGATGCTGATGCCCTCAAGGACAAAAAGGAGGAAACGAAAATCTCTATATCCGATGTGAATGGTATTAATGGTGAGAATGCGAAAAATAAAACTGCGAATTCTAAAATACATTTTAAAGCGTTGACCACTTTAAATGATAAAGAGGTCCAAATTCCAAAAAATAAATTCGATAAGATAATAACGAGTATCAAAGAAGAGCCTATAGAACCTGATAAGGTAAAAACCAATGCACATATTGAGGAATCTGAAATGGAAATTGCAACGAATAATTTGGAAGAAAAATTGTCCTCCATCAAAGAAAATAAAAACAAAGTTTTGAACTCTAAGACGCCTGAGAGTAAAATCACGAAAAACTTGGAATACGACGATATCACTAAATCAGAAACTACAGACGAGACAGAGGAAATGATCGAAGCTGAAAAACCGAAGGAAACGTTTATAAGCACGGCAAGTATTAAAATTGAACCTCCAGAAGTTGACGAACTGGAAACTAATGAATACACGGAAGAAACTACGGAGAGCAGTACGAAAATCGTGGACGAATTTTTAGAAAAACCAAAGAAAACATTCCTGACGACTTTCAAAATCGATAATTCGATAAAACTCGAAGATGAAGATGAAGCCAGGAGAATGCTTGAAGTTGAGAGACCTAAGAAAACGTTTGTAACAACGGCAAGTATTAAAATTGAACCTCCAAAAGTTGACGAACCGGAAACGAATGAATACACCGAAGAAACTACGGAGAGCAGTACGAAAATCGCGAACGAAATTTTAGAAAAACCAAAGAAAACATTCCTGACGACTTTCAAAATCGATAATTCGATAAAACCTGAAGATAAGAGACCTAAGAAAACATTTATTAGTACAGCAAGTATCAAAATTGAACCTCCAAAAAATGATGAACAGGAAAAAGATGAATATATAAAAAAAACTACAAGCAAAAGTTCAGAACTCACCGATGGATTTTGGGAAAAACCAAAGAAAACATTCTTAACGACTTTGAAAATCGGTAATTCGAAAAAATCCGAAGATAAGAAACATAATAAAACGTTCATTAGTACAGCAAGTATCAAAATTGAACCTCTAAAAGGTGATGAACAGGAAACAGATGAATATACTGAGGAAATTATGGGAAAAAGTTCTAAAATCGCGAACGAACTTTCGGAAAAACCAAAAAAGACTTTCGTGACAACTTTGAAAGTCGGTAATGCGACAAAACCCGAAGTTGAGAGACCTAAGAAAACCTTCATTAGCACAGCAAGTATCAAAATTGAACCTCCAAAAGTTGACGAACAGGAAACAGATGAATATACCGAAGAAACTACGGCGAGGAGTTCGAAAATCGCTGACAACCTCTTCATAAAACCAGAGAATAAATTTCTGACTACTTTAAGAATCAGTAATTCGATAAAACCCGAAGTTGAAGATAAAAAGACGGAGACGATCGAAAGCAAAGATTCAGAGAAAAGTTTTGTATCAAAGGCGTTCATCAAAATCAAACCTGAAAATCACGAAGATAGACAACTTGAATCAAAAATATTTAAAGAAAATTGGAATCAAATGAAAATGAATTTAATCAAGAAAGAAGGGAAGGAAAATGAAGAAAAGAAAAGCTCAACGGTGGATTCAGCAAAATCATTTGATGGTTTATATAAAACGAATTTTGTTTTGGAAGGAACCAATGAAAAAAGTAAAGAGAATAACGTAAATACGAATACAGTTGCGTCAATATCTATAGGAAAGGAAAAAAATGTAGGGAAAGAGAAGAAAATGTCGACATTTTTAACAGAGAAAGGAAGAAAGGAGAAAATCGTGTCAATGTTGACAGAGATTAAATACGACGAACCTGAAGCAATCGCCGAGCGATTTCAAAGCGCGTTGACTCGAAATTTTCAGTTGGATAACGATGTCATCGATCGATGTTGCGAGGCGAAATACGAGAGAACTGAAACTGGGAACTACTATACGATGGCTTTGGCTTCCCCAGAAAATCGCTTTCCATGGAGAATCGGTAAGTCCTTGCTAATCGCGTGCAAATAAATCACGGATAATTAACGGATTTTCAATGATTCGAGCGCGCATGTGGGCGTGGACCTATAAAAAAAGAAATGAAAAAGAAAGATTATAGATAGGGAAAAGAAACTGCGCGGAAAATTAAATGGATCGAACAGAATGAAATAAAAATTTCGTTAGTTCATTAATTACCATAAAAAGAAAAGTCAAATAAAAATATAAATAGGTTTATGATAACGCGAAACGTATTCAGTTTATAATTAACTCACTGTATTGGTATAGAATGAAAACAAGAAAAGAAGAATGAATAAAACATTTAAAAATATCAATGTGTTATTTTTCACAGATTTCGAGAAGCACGCGAATGACATAAAACAATTTAATAATCAAAGACGTGATGCAAGATTTGAAAATACGTTTCTTCCGGAAACAACTTGGACTAAATTAAATACGTACGATCCTAATGTGAATAGATTTCCGTTCGTAAATAGCGATCGCGAAACTTCCAAGTGTCACTTTGAAGAAAAAAAAGGTTTATTATCGGAAATGATCTCTTTAATGAGTAATCAAATAGCATATTTTAGTAATGCGATCAATAAGATTGCAGTGTTCACAAATATTTTATCGAGTTACGATGAATCCGAGACTTCGCAAATGAATTTAACGTCGAAGAAAGATACGAAAACTAAGTTGACAAATTTTGAAAGGATTTGGACTAATCCTTGCAAAGAATATCTCGCTATTCTGGAAGATGTTAAAAAACTCGATGAGAATGGAATCAAAAATCGTCATTATTCTGTAACTTCCATTTGGAAAAAATCGATGAAGAAATTAGATAAAAAGGAACAACGTGTTATCGGAAAGGATTCCTTAGATATATTAATAAAAGACAATAACAATAAGGTACGAAATAGATTGAAGCATTTGATCATCAAAAACAAGAATAATCAAAAAAGTTATCTGATACCTGAAAATTCGTTTCGCGGATTAGAATTGCAACCTTATAAAAAATCAAACCTGGGTCGACCATACAAAATACGAAGAAATTTGCTAATCCGTAGTCGTCTCAAAGACAATCACACGTTCAAACAAAACCTTCTTCCACCTTTCACAATCGTTAAACGGAAACGCGAGAGGAACTATAAATCTTTTCGTGAAATACCTAGACAGGAAAAAAATAAGAGAACGCTAGGTCGAGTACAGAACGTCAAGAATTACAAAAACTTCTTCTGTTCCTTGCCTTTGATAAAAGGAAAGAATTCGAAAATTAGTTTTACGATCAAGAAATCGTCCACATCAAAGGCAATACCCAACGAATCTGATACAAAGACTACGATAACTTTCCTTTCCACCGATTCCTGTGTATCCACCGAAGAAACTTTTATTCTAGAAACGACATGATTACTGAAAACAATTTAAAGAACAACTAAAATACTTAAGCTTTTCAGATTACAATTTATTCGAATTATTTTTATTGGGAAAGAAAAAGGAAATAAATTACATTTCTGTCAAAATAAGACGATACAGTATAACTTCTTGTTCTTTATTTAATAACTTTTACTATTTTGTCAAATAATTGTTGTTTTATACCGCTATAGCCGTTTAAAGATGAATTTGAGAAATTTGACGTAGTTAAAAAAATACTACAACAAAATCCAACAGCCGAATATTCCTATAGTAGATTTGTTTTTTATATACTATAGCGAGAAGAAAAAGGGTGAAAAGGGGAATGAAAAAGTATATACGTATGTATTACAACGTATGCACACGTATAGAATTTTTCAATTGCTCACGCACACGCATACGCATACACGCGGACACTCGATGCGACAAACACTAATTTCAAATAGAATTTTCGGTATGACCGTAGAATCCGTATAATTTGTTGCATTCAATAAACATCAGAGTATAATTTCGCATTAATACCTATATAGATAGATATATGTATTTATATATATATATATATATATATTTATTATATAATATATATATTAAATTTCTTACAACCTAAGAAATGAACTGGTAATAAAAGAATTAACAGATTGGAAACACGCTCTTGTAATAAATGAAATTTTAATACCGTAACAAATGAAAGTTACGTGTTATAAGTTGAAATTGAAAAATTGAAAGAGTAATCTATTAAAAGAAAAAAGAAAATGAAAATAAGAAAAAAAAAAATATATAAAAAAGTGTCATACCATTTCTTTCCGAACACACAGGCTTATTGTATGATAACAAAAAGATGTTTTATGCGTTAGCTTTATAAAGTTAAGGACGAAGCATAGATAGGAATAATAATTTCCATATCGTGTCAGAATGCATTATCGTTTAGACGAACGTTTGGGTAGCGCTTGTACGTGCAAATTACCTAGGCAATTTGTAATTGAAGATAGAAGCTGGATATAGCCGCGTATTTCGAATTATTGCTATGGGCACCGATCGTACCTTTGTTGCCAGACATTCATACATACACATGTAACTTTTTTATATGAATGAACATCTTGACACAACAAATGTACCTACTACAATATCAAAGTTACAAACGGACCGTGTGCTTAGCATAAACATACTAAATACTTATACAACTAACGATTAACTTTTGTTTCTTTTATTCACTTTGTTTATTCAAAATACGAAGAGTTATCAAACCGGAGCGAAGTAATTTATTAACCGAGGAAATTGCATGGTTTTGAAAAAACCATAATTTTTCATGTTTATTTAAAGGTAATTCGATACTTTTGAATATCTAATTTTCTAGCTTCTTTTTTTTTTTTTTTTTTAATATAAAATCATTCTTTTTAATTAGTCCGCAGGATTGCATCAGACAGATGATCTGGAATGAAAAAACAGTAGTAGCTTTGTAATGATTACTCTTGCTAAGAATATTTCAAGGTACCTACCCATTTTCGTTAAACGTGAAATTTTACGCGCTAAGAATTTTCAAATATGAAGAATTTTTAAATCATTTATCCATGCTATTCATTAATCGGAAGAACACGTAGATCATTATTCTAAAAGGATAAGATCCGTTGACGTAATACTCACACTTCCTTGTTTCTTATATATTAATTTCCCGAAGATCTTCCGTTTTTTTTTCTTTTTTTAGTTTTTTCTTTCTTTTTTGTTTAATAATTAACGTATGGTGCATTTTTATATTTATTTGTTCATAGTGTGGATGTATTTCTTTTAAAAAAAATTATAGACATTCCTCGTTAAATATCTCATCCAATATCAACGGTTCTCGAAATATTACTTTTCTTTTATGGACGAATATGTACAAAAATATTTACAGATACATTTACATCACTAACATATACATATACATATATATATTATATATTTTTTTACAAATATACACACACACACATATACATATATGTATATATATATGAGAGATGATTATTTTGTGAACAAACTTAAATATTTATACGTTACAGTCGCAATAATTTAATTAAAAATTAATACTTTCTACGACAAATCTTTGATTAAAAAATCTAAGCCGCTAGCAAATACTTGCAACCCTACAATCGCTGAAATAGATTGTTCGAAACTTTAACAACAGGAAATATTTTGAACTGTTCTACAGGAGTGAAAAAGTGTAAGGTTACGTAACTTCATGCCCAGACAGGCAAATTTTACTGACAGATACGTTAGAGCCAGTAAGAATAATCTTAAAATCAGTTCACTTTAACGCGGAACTGCACAGTACGTCAAAATTACATTTTCTGCCGTGGAAAAATCTCTAAAGTATATTCCCAAACGGATACAAGTCGTGAACGTATCAGGCGACATCGTATCGTTCACATATTACGTCATAACAGACTGTAAAAAGGTACGTCCATTGAGGATCATTAAGTGTGATAGGCAATTATTTCGGATTAAGTATTTTAAAACCCGACATCGGCTCGAGTCAACACGGATTTTGAATGTACAAGTCGAGTATCTTCACTCAGAATATCAACTTGAACAAAGGCACGACGTAGGTAATGCTTGTGCAAAATATTGTCATATAAAAATTAAAACTTCCCCATATTCTCGACAACTAAATAAGCAATAAATATAAACGACGACGCAAATAGTATTGTATAAAATGTACAATAAGAATTGCATTTGCTTGTTATTCTTTTCATTTCATTTTTCTTCTTCTTCTTCTTCTTCTTCTTCTTCCTCCTTCTACCCGATGAGTTTAGAGCCACTATTAACTTTGTCCTTAAAATGAAATAAGCATCGTATTGGACAAATCAGTTCTGTTATGTGTTACTTTAACATCGTATCTAGGTCGACTTAAGATAGTTTTCTTTTAATTCACCCCTTTGGTGTACTCAGCTTTCAGTTGACCAAGCGTTACTTTAATATCATGGAACGTAGGTCTCTTTTCTGGTTGAAGATCCCAGGCCTGGAACGCATAAACGTTAGCGACATTAACGTTAGGTATGAAGTTTTACGTGAAAACTTTGTTCATTTACCTGTCTCATAATATCATATACTTCGGGCGGACATCCATCTGGTGGTTCCATTTTGTAACCTTTTTCCACACACTTGACAACGTCGGCTAAAGGCTATGAACGAATATTAATATAAAATATTCCGTTCTTAGGGGATGGTAAGAGTAAAGAAATAATAGTACAAGTCATTTTGAAATAATATCTACTTACGATACGTGGATAAGGCACACGTCCAAAGGAATAGATTTCCCAAAGGAGTATTCCGAAACTCCACATGTCAGATTTGTTAGAAAACTTCTGAAAAACAAATGATGAGATGCATCGTCGCGCAAGGAAACGCTTAAAAGCTTTTTTCGTCAGAAAGTAGTGCCGGTCATAAAATATTTACGTTCTGCTTTAAAGCCTCAGGGGCGGTCCATTTGATGGGCAACTTTCCACCATCGAGAGAGAAATTTTCGTCTCGTGCCAAGCCAAAGTCCGAAACTTTCGCGGAATTGTCTTCCGCAACGAGGACATTTCTCGCGGCTAAATCGCGATGAACGACGTGTCTCGACTCCAAGTATGCCATACCCGCACACGTGTCGCTGAAAATAAACCGATCGTTCGTTCAATGGCCAACGAGGTCTCTTTTGGAGTATAAGGGAATATTGTGAAATATCGTAAAAAGGATAAGAACTATGATCTATATGGATTACGTACTAGGCAAAATTAATTTGATCTTTTTTAGAAACGTGTAATCGGCCTCTAGATCTCAAGTAATCCACAAGGGATCCCTTGCTCATATATTCCGTAACCAGGTACATGTGTTGATTGTTGAATACAAGACCAAGTAATTTAACGAGATTGTCATGAATCAACGAAGTCATTAAACTCGCCTCGGCAAGAAACCTTTGCGCTGCTTCGCTATTGTCTTTCAACATTTTCACGGCCACTCTTTCGCCCCTATAAACACCGAGCAAAACGTCGCCAAATTCACCTTTACCAATACACTCTCTTAATTCTAATTCGTGAGTCTGGATAACCCAGCCAGCTTCGACGAAGGCTTTAGGATCGACGCAAAAGTCTTGTTTCCCTTGCTTCGGTAAGGATTTAGTTAACTGAGTGCAAAGACCATCGGCATCTTGCTCATAATGTTCGACTAAGAGCGCTAAATTTTCAAAGAACTCTTCATCGTCGATGGTTAGTTGATTATTCTTGTATTTCACTCTATAGTGTTGCACGCGTCCTTGATAACACACGCAGAGGGTATAGTCTCCAGGGAAATTCGTCGACTCTCGAACTAGGAACAGACCATCTTCCCTGGGTCGTAACAACCTTTCCGCAGTTTCCCTAGATATTTTCCCATGGAACCATCTGTAACAAGGTAGGGTTTCAAATAAGCATTTCTCATTTAACGGTGCTGAACAACGAAATACTTTGTTATTCTTATTAAAAAATGATTCAAAGATTGAAGAAAACATAATAATCGTTAAATCGGTCAAGATAAGTCTATTCGAAATAGAAAGCAATCAATTTATCATTTTACTTTCTTATTTACATAAGATCAAGGCTTTTCTTCTAATTCAATCTAACAAGTATATCATATGACTGAATTTAATCATTGAATCCTATACGTACGGCATAGCATTGAGCTTGACTTCATGCCTTGGGTTGGCTGATAGAACAGTGGTATTTCCGGGATTCGTGACATTCGAAGTAAGGAGGACCGGTGAGGACGCCGTGTTCAAATGGCTCGTCAGATTTGAGGATGTTACGCTCGAATGCGTGGTCATCGTTGGTGATACTGGATGGGACGGAATGTTGCTCGCTGACAGATTGGGTGGAGCTATGTGCGAGGTGGTGTTCTGAATGAGAGGATGGCTCGTTACGTTTGAAGGGATCGTATGGTGATTTTGATTGCCATCGAGCTTCGCTTGCCGCGCTGGCGCTGACACATTCGGGTATCCACCACCCGCATTGTGATAAGTTGGCATCGCAACTGCCACAGTAAGCTCTACCGATCTGAAAAGAAAAAAAAAAAAAAGAAAAAAAATTCACTAAATTACGACTTTGGACCAAATATAGAACTCGATTATCGAGTTATTCTTCTCATCTTTCGTCTAACAGCGACGATGTCATTGTCCTTTGCACAATTTCCCCAATGCATCTACATTTATTTGACATCAGTGAAAAAGAGAGAGAAAGATAAAGAGAAATCGTGACACGAAGTGGACATCCTCGTGCTAATTTCGGGACGTCGCTCGAACGCGTAGGAGTTAATGAGGCTCGTTTCACAAATTAACTTATCCGAAGCGTTGGACATCGAGCCAGCAATTACTAACTGACCATGGACTGCGAGGTGACTCTTTTAAATGCGGCAGTTAGTTTTAAGTGACCATTGTCCCTAAGCATACACGAGCCATTGCTGTTACTGCTGTTACTACCGCTTGCACCGTCCATCCGCACGTTAGAAACACGTTGGACGCTGATACGTGAATATATGTATACATTCGCCGGAGCTTGATGATTCATTCGAGGATATTTTTACAATGATTATGAAATCAATAAGGCATTACTAACATAAACACAAGTGATATTTGATGAAACGACTTGGGACTTCCTTTGGCTCCATAACTAGCTCGTGCCGTATCCTTTTTAAATATAATTCTCTTATAATAAGATAAACATATTTGGACATACTCAAACGTTCAATCAAAATTATCCCTCTCCTTCTCTCTCTCTCTCTCTCTCTCTCTTTCTGTCTGGCTTAAATGTACAATTTATAAATCGATTAAACCAACGAGACATCATGCATGAAAGAATAAACTATCGTAGACGTGAAAAGTCTAACTAAAAAAGTGAAAGTCACGATGAAACTCAAAAGTCAAGCATTTATGGAAAACTAAAAGTAAATGTCATTGAACCAAGCCATATAGTTGCTGTATTGTGTGGCATGCAACTCGATTTTCTTTCCTTTTACAATGTTCCTTCCCTAACCTGATATAAATGAAACTTCGTTATGAAAAAAGAGAAAAAGAAAAGATTATACCAGTGGTAAGCTGTGGCACGAAAGGCAACACGATAATTTCTCACTCATTTTCTATGTAAACTGTACAAGGAGAAATTCGACCACTGAGGGAGATACAAATCCAAGAAGCGCAAGCAAATATTGAATAATTCAAATTGGGTTTATCCTTGGTTAGCGTCTGTAACGAGCGTGGAACGTTATGTCACGTGAAAATGTATAGTTCCCGTACTTGGACTCCATTACTGATATACGATTTGTAGTTATGTAAAACTTATAAATATTATCCTGTCTTGTCATCCTTTAAATAATGTCAAATCTTTCAAGAAAATGTATGACTTGTTTTACTGACAAATTAGAACAAATATTGATTGATCTTATGATAAACAATCTGTAGAAATTGTTCTCGCATCCACATCAACACACGCACACACAGAGATTTCTACGATAAAATTATAGAGGCGACAAACACTTACAATTTAAAAAAATAATATCTATCTGATAAATTCTAGAAAAAAAAAATCTGCCTTTTCTTGTACAAGAAAAGTTAATCGAATCATAGATCACGATAAGTCTATATTTCTATGAACAATTAGTCTATGCGATTCAGAACAATGAATTGAATAATTAAATTACATAATTTCACAATTAGAATGTGCAACAACGAAGAATATAGCGTGCCGTTAAATGGAAAACTTTTCCATGCACAGTATCAACTAAATCCGGAAGGAGAAATGAGTTAGTTAATCGTATTATATCCACTTAAGTATATCTCTGCGTGTGGTTTAAAAAAAAATACAACAAGAAATGAGTAAAGACTTGATATATAAGTATATATACCGAATGTATATATATATACAATATATACACACATGTGCTTTTTCTTTCGCATATTGCGCATCATTTCGCGAGTGCATGTCATAGGAATGATGTCATTCAAGGTTAGCCGTACTGTCAAAACGCAGAATGAACTGTCTCGAATCACAGCTGATTGTGAGAGATCCACGTGCACAGGTGACAGAAAAGGGACGACCGTGAGACGAGAAAAGAGAGAGACAGAAAGAGACAGAGAGTTTTATGATAGATAACTCGACAGATCTCTTCTACATTGTAAATCGTAGAGAACTGAGACAGAGTTTAGATTCGAGTGAAAATTGTATTCAAGGTGACTACAAAGTATCTACTCGCATTTTTATTCTTTTTCTAATTTTTCGAATTCTTCCGAACAAATAAAATAGTTTTGATACTCGTTAAAAATATTTAATCGAGTAGAGATATTTAAAATAATCGATGTTTAATTTAATTATAATCATTCACAAATAATTACGAAGGTGTTTATCATTTCTTAAATTGACAAATGATCAATTATATAATTTCGATTCGTTTTACGTAATTTAACTGTTTTTCACGAACACCTGGCTTTTCATTCAACTTTCATTCGCTACATCTTGAAAATCGCATAGAAAAAATTATAATGAATTTGATTGCTGCATCGAATCATTCGAACGCCGCAAACGAGCAATCAAATAGAATTATCAATTCGCTACGAAGAATCATTGATTTGTTACTCGAGTGATAATAGTAGCGATTTAAATCGATCGACTTAATCTTTGATCAATCAATTTCTTTATTATTTATTATGATTCAAAATGCTTCCTTACGAATTTTTGATACCGTTCATTGATACTTATTCAACTAAAGTTCAATCGATTAGATTTGCTCTTTCACTATTACGATGGATACAATCAACATTCAATTTTTCAATTTGAATTAAACATTTTTTTTGTTACTATTCAAACGATGTTTTATATATATATATATACATCCCCGTGCATGCGTTTATTTAACTGCAATTTTGTTTTCATCTCAAATAAATAACAAACGTTTTTAATAATAATACAAATCAAACACAAACAACAGATCTAAAAATACATATAAATATAAATAGCAAGAGAGAGAGAGAGAAATAGAGAAAGGGAGATAGAAGTGTACGTAAAAAATATTTTGGCAGGTGTAGAACACAAATGATCATCATTAGATTTATGTGAACGATGCCCTGTCATAGTACACATATATATATATCTCTTTTTCTCTCTCTCTCTCTCTCTCTTATTTTGACAAACGAATTTTGGCGCATCAGGTAGAGATTACGATGGAAATAAACAGTAAAATTCTCTTTGGCGATTTCACCGGTAATTTATGCAAAGCTCATTCGAGACGGTGTCCTGTACGCACGTACCGTACTATTAATATCACCGTAGTGGATCGGTCGAGGGCCGAAGTATCTTGGTTAGTATGAAAGAGGAAAAGAGGAGAAAAAGAGGAAAAAGGAAAGACAGTGAAAGATCGGAATAGGGAAAGAGAAAACGACGGGAGGGCTGAGAACATGCAACAGATTCGCTCGGTTTGCACGTTGCTCTTTAACAGTACATGTTACTGTACCATGACCCATCGTTTACCACCTGGCATCGAAACGACAATGTGATTGTTCGCCGATTTTATGTGAATTTTTTTTTATCTCCATAGTTTTTTCTTCTTTTCTTTCTTTCTTTCTTTCTCTCTCGTTTTCTATTTTTTTTTTTTAGTTTACATCAACCCCATTTAAAAGGACACACTTTGGACACTCAAAAGAGGACAAATGCATTCCGGAAACTCAAAAATAGAAACGGCTGAATTTTCTCTCTTTCTCTCTCTCCCGAAATACGTTCCCCACCTGATACTCTTTTATTTAATGTATAAGTAAATACTTAATAATCTCCAAATGTAGGTTTCCTTTACTCGGTAAATTTCTTTTACTTATTTATTTATTAAAATATTTATCATTTTTTATTAGGTATGTGTATATATTTAAAAAAAGAAAAAAAAAAAATTGTGAATCGAACGAAAGCGTGAAATTGCATTTGGTTGAATCGTAAAATATTACCTAGGCTGCAGATTGACCGTCCATCGTCCGATGAATATCGTCCCACTGAAACAACACGACATATGTAAATCTGTTTTGATGGCAAAGCTACTTTACGGTGCGCGTGAGTTAACTTCAAATTAGAAACGATCCGAAAGCGTTCCGCGAAGAATTCTTTCGCGAGAGAAACTCGAAGCTCTTTTGCTTGAGAACGTCAGCATCGTCGCCGTCTTCGTTGCCGTCTTCGTAGCCGTAATCGTCGTCATTGTCATCATCACAATGGTTGTTTTGAAATGATCGAAATAAGACGCGAATCCGATATCACGCGATGCAAGCATTTTAATGAAAGCCCACATGCTAGTAAGCCCGTATAATATAATCAACGCTGGGGTCACCAATTAAAATACTAAACGAAGGATCGAATGAATCGCTGGAAGACTTTTAACGTAGAATAATTTACTTTTGGGAAATTTTATATGTAGATATAAAAGAATACATATAGGTGTACAATAAAAAAAAATATACTTCTTATGGTCAAAAATAATTATTAATTAAAAACGTAGCCTTTACGCGTTTTTTATTATATTTTAATTTCCATAACTTATACAATATATTTCAATTTTTGATTGGAGAGATATAGTTTGCAAAAAATTTCAATAAAAAATCGTCTTTCTTTACATATTTACAGAAGGATGCTATAAAGAAAACGTATTCTGTACCAACACTTTTATTCAGCATCATATGCGTGTGCGTGCTCGCGCGTCTGTAAAAGAAAGTTCGTTTTTTATGGTAGGTAAATAAGTTAAGTATTTAATGGGTCTTGTTTAAATTTATATTCATAAAAATTTCGTAGCGGAAGCATATATAAAAAAGTAATTTATACACAAAGTAGGCATTTATCGAAACGAAGGGAAAGTTTGATCTTTGATCGGGAGTTGAATCGAAGCTTTGATATTTCGATACCGCGACCGTATCAACAATCAGCACAAGGTTACGATCTTTACCTCTCACCCTGTGCACACTCATCAAGCACCCGTAATTCTAATTAATTAGGTAAGAAGTGCGTGAGAGAGTTGTAAGTAACGAGGAGAATTAGCCGGGTCGCTCACTCGCGAACTCCTTAGAAATCACGCCATTATTGTAAATAATCCAACGTGGTTTACCTTCGTATTAAATGAGATAGACAGTGCAAACCAAGGAAAGAAAGAAAGGAGAAAAAAAGAAATATATATATATATATACATATATCTGAGAGGAAGAACGCTCCATTTACGGTGTACAATAACGCATTGTGACTAAATTTTTCCCCATGTATGGCGTGTGTAGACCGTTAACTGCATAATTAGCCAATAGCTAATTGCTAGAACTCGCATGACTTTATACACTAACGTTGACTACTTTGCTACCTTCCAAATGCATTAATTACTTGATTCACACTATTCTTCATTCATTAATATGATGGGAACATCAATACAAAAATTCTATTCTGATAGATTTAAGCTATAAGATACTTTGATTCTTATTTATTTCTTATCTTGAAATATTGTAATCGCATGAAAAATAGTTCAAGAGTTTAGTCTTAAAATTTACTCAGTTTATAAAGTAAGTAATGTTTATGACTCTTCGATTAGATATTTTATAATAGACATTATGTTATTTACTACTATTTAATTTCTTCTCGATAAGAAACATTATTGCATAGATATAAGCATAAAATACAAACTTAACATAGAATGCTCGAACATAAAATATCTATGTTATCGAATAGACTGAAATTAGATGATAGATATAAAGATCATGGTAAACATGTAATTATAAAAGATATATTCTGTATAACTTTAAAGGAAAATTCAAGAGGTATAAAACACATCAAAGAAATAATTCTTAATAATGTCTTTCCAATCATTAGATTATTTGCATAAATAAGTTTCTTTCAAGTATACTATAAATGATATTACTTGACATATATATAAAATACATTGAGACCAAATTATAGGAATAGAAAATATAATCTATATAAATATAACTCTTAACAGACATAGTTTTCATGCAATAGTCTGTGCCATTTAAATAACGCCCACTTATACTAGGAAAAAATAATACACCCGGTATAATCCAACGATCGAACGTGGGTCGAAAAATACGCAACGATATTACCAACAAATTGTAATGCAATGAATGATTATTTATGCATTTCCCTTTGGAAATATTCGTATGAAAGTGTCTTTGAAATTTCGAACTTACGAGAATCTACTGCAATACACAAGTTTTATCGTCTGCGCGCGAATTTAACCAAAAATATCGGACTTACCTACACTCTCAGCCAGCTTATTTCAACGGGGATGAAAACAGACATAGAAAAAACACTTGCACTGTCTCACATAAAACAAATATTTATAAAAACTACACGAAAAAACGTCATAAACACCTTGCGAAACGTCAGACTCACTTCGGGCGGGCGGCCATTTTCCTCCACACGAATCGAATGAAGAGTATCTTTTGCTCCACAGAAAAAACGTAGCTGGAGTTGTCTTCGGACTTATACGAACTAACTATCAGGCGTGGCAACTTTTCCAACTAAATTACGATTAGTTTGTTTTCTTGAGTATAGAGTACACTAGTTTCATCCAATATGTAGCGACCTGCTGTCGATAAGCAGATTTCCACTTCATCCTATGCGACAACTAGCGCCGCCATCCTCACTGCTCATTCTTTAACAAACTACTTTAGCACTAGCACTCTAGCACAGCTAACAGCGCTTCTAGGAGAATATTAATATTTCCATAGTTACAAAGACGATACTTCCATTCCAACCGTTGAGCARTAGACAYGCGTACCGACAAGCAGGAAATAAAGACGTGCAATTAGCTACTACTTCCGCTTACCTCTTTAAGATTTTTGTTAAGTTTATCACATATTTTATACGAGACCTTTTTGATACATTATTAAAATAAATATTCATATAATATTTTTCCTTAGTGAATTATTTATTTCCGCGCATTAGTGAACACGCTACAAAAACGTAGCGATTAACGCTCTCTACAAGCTTCTAATTAAAACTACTTTGAACTAGTAATATTTGGTATTCAAGTTAATGGAAAATTTTTATTTTTCTATTTATTGGTTCATTTTATCTTACTAGTCTACGTCACTTAAAATCGTGTTGAGTCGGTCAGCTTAAATAAATCGAATTTAAATTACTGCGATTTATTCATTTATTCGTTATCGTATTATAAAAATTACCAAAAATGGCTGCAGATGTTATAACACGTGTACCAGAAGAGATTATTGGATATATTTTGGAAGATGAGAGTATTACGATTTTAGATATTATCAAATTTTCTATGACATGCAAGCGTTTATATCTAACTATCAAAAATAATCAATTATGGCGAGTGAAATACTTCCAAAGGTATTTATAATCTTAGATATATTACTAATATATTANTAGATATATTACTAATATATTATATTTATCTTTCGTTTTTAATGACTTATTACATAAATATATATATATATATATATATATATACATATGTAATATTATTTTGTATTTAATATTAATTATTACAGATGGCCCCGCTTGAAAAAGAAATACGAAAAATTTACTGCAGATATAAAAGTATTAAGCTGGTTAAATGAAATAAAAGTTAGCTTGGAAATTAGACGTAGTTTAATGTATCACTTGTCTCTAATGTCCAGTAAATATTACACAAAGGAAGAAGTGTCCAATTCAGAATTAAAATATTTAGATCCATTGTTTCGTCCGGAATTAGGCGCGTATCCATTAAATTATTATTTTCTTGTTGATGAACTCGTCAGTCTCATAAAATGTCATTATGCGTGAGTCATATTTCAACTAAACACATATACTTTTAATTACATGATAATTTTAATACATTGTATAACACTTTACTTTTATATATATTTATATTTATTTTCTCCACAGACATAGTAACTTAACCCACAGATATTATGCCGTTATTGTTTTACGATATCTGAAACAAAATTATATTACGAAAAAATGGCAAAGATTTATTAATCTTCCAGTAAATGAACAAAYSTTAGAACGTTGTGCAACTTTTGTAGCACAATGGARTCAACCAGAAARMTSTWTTTCTTATTCCTATATTTCCTCATTACTCGACGACATAGCTAATCAAACAAAAGATTTAATATATGAAAGGCATCCTGAGCATTCTATATTTTCATTACCTCCGGAACAATTTTTAATTTGGAAACGTGAAATAATTGATGACAATTATTGGAGTATTGAAGAAACGAAAGAAATTATGAATTCACTTTGCGAAGTTATGTTTCACAAATTAGGTTTCCATGGCGATAATGATGTGTATTATTACCCAAATAATTCATTTATTAATAAGGTAAATTTTTTAAGCGAGTTATATTGTTTTATATGTCATTAATATATTTTTACAAGAATATTTTTTTGTGGTTTATAGGTGTTGAAACTAAAAGAAGGAACTCCTATAATTCTTGCAATTATATTTGAAAGCATTGCAAGACGACTTGGAATAAGATGCGAGCCCGTTAATTTTTCATCGCATTTCTTTTTACTATGGAAAGAAAAATAGTAAGTATTTATTCTTGAATTGCTTATTACTCTATGATATCTTAAAATAAAAAAGAAATTAATATCATATGTCAAATAAATTTTTTACAAATTCATAACTTCTCTTTTATAGTAATGTTTCAGATCTAGAAAGTACAGAAAATTTTTATATCGATATGTTGAATGGTGGTCACTTTTTAAGAAAAGAAGATTGCTCTGGAGTTGGTGGAATTTCTCACCACAATTTTAGATGTTCAATAGAAAAACACGATTCACATAATGTTGCAACTGCTGTAGAGGTACATTATTATATTTCTATAAATTTAATTTCTATTACACAATAGATTGATGGAGAATTTAATAATTTTATGATTTACATAATTAATATTTATATATTTTCTTTATTGATTGATTAAAAGGTTACAGCAAGATTAGTATGTAATCTAAGTGTAGCGGCAAGAAAATATAATGATTTGAATGGTAGAGCAGATAGCATAAGTTCTATTTTAGAATTAAGCTACATGGTACAACCTCACGATGAATCTACTTTATACAACTTGAGCCAATTTTGTAAACGTCATGAGAGGGATTTATTAAATTTTGTGGTAATGTTGCAAATTATAGACAAAGTTAATTAAAGTTTTGAAACAATAAACAAAATTTATATAATATATATTTTTTCCATTCAATGAAAATGTTGAATTTCATTTAACATGAATTAATTTAATACATTTTAGGATATAGACATGGCAGAAAATGTAAATTTAATGCGAAAAATGTATAAAATGAACATTAAACGTGCAGTATGTATATATGTTAATTCTTTAATATTTTAATTTAATTTGCTTGGCTATATATCAAAGATCATATGTAATTACAATGAAATTATTATTTATAGGAAGAGATAAAACCACAAATAAGAACTCCAAAAGTTAAATATGCCATTGGTTTAATAATGACTTATAAATTTAGTAGTAATATTGGTGTAATAGTAGGATGGGAAATGTTTTATGAATCTTATGGTACGAAAGTTACCAAAGAACCAATTTATAATTTGCTTTTTGATGGCGGAATATCTCAATACGTTCCTGAAGGTATAATGTTCCTAATCTTTTAAATATAATTTAATGTAAATATTTAACTTTTTATCGATAAAGTTTCTTCTTATCTTTCTGTTAACAGAATTTTTATCATTGTCTACAAAACCAAAGTATATACATCATCGCGAGATTGGACGTTACTTATGTTATTTTAAAGAAACACATTATGTGCCAAATGAAGAGACTTGTAAAAATTATCCAGAAGACAAAAAAGCACTCGAACTTATAGTAAGGACTTATTATAGTTAAATTGTTTAAAAGTAAATGAATACGCTGTATTATTGGTGATAATACCGATAACATAATTATGTATCTAATTATAAATTTAATTTAGTCCGATGTTTATTTCTCTCTTTGTATTTGATATATTCGGACCTCTAAATATAGATATTCAACATCTACATATTTATAAATTATATATATTTTTCCTAAGCATTGAACATAACACTTTGATATTCTATAGAATATCTAATTACTATTTAAACAACGTTGAAAAGAATACATTCTCGGGCACAGACACACACAACCATACGCAACGCCTCCCCCCAAAACAACTCATACAGATAAAGAACATTTCATTCTAAACCTGTGTATCTTTCGTTACGATAGAGAACGAAAAATACAAATTTCCGTGGAAATCTCTATGAACATCTGTAACATATATACAAACACACAGATATACACATAAAGGACATAAATATATATCTGTATATAGCTGAAGATTTACTCAATTTTTGTATATTATAAAAAATAGCATCAATTTGCGTAAAAGTATTATTTTTAAAGTAAACAATCTTCGAATAAGTAAACTGTTTTCTCTTTGTAAAGCATTACATGCATAAGTTATAAATATAAGTTGTATACTAAACTAAAATTTTCTTGAAATAAACAGTAAGTTATATATTACCTTGAAAGATCGAAATTGGAGAATATGAAGATTCACACGATGAATGTCAACACATTCCAAATACGTCGGTGAAAGATCAAATATTTTGGTATATTTTTATACATTTAGGCCAGGCCATTACTGGTATATTTTGATAAGCACAAATATGCTTTGGCCCTCCTATACATAGGAAAACTGCTCTGCTTTTATATATATGCGTTACCGTTAAATGCCGAAATTGGAAAATATCAAGGTTCATATAGTCGCTTGGTGTATGGCTGAAATATTTACTAAATATCCTTATTTTTGATTTACCCTGGCAAATGTCGACAGTCACCATGCACTGACAGTGAGTGTTGAATAAAAATATTTTTGTTACGTTTTTAAATAATACTTTATTATTAAAACTTATTATAATATATATCAAAATAGAAGAAAACTTAAGTAACAACAAATGTAAATAAACTGTTGAACTTAAAAAGAAAATAATCCCAATAATAAAGTTACTTAACCCCTTGCACTACACTGAAATTCGGAATAAGCCGTGCCTAACCTATGCACGCGAATGGTCGCAAAAACAGTCGAAATGGCAGAACCCGAGTGTCGGAACTTTAAACACGATATCTTACGACTGACAATAGGACCAACGAGTACGGCTTGTGATATTCATGTTTGGCCCGAAATGTCGATTACAAGCCTGACTCGTGATATCCATGTTTGGCCTAAAATTTTCATCTTCGTGATCATCGTGAAAATAGCGCAAGGGCTTAATTATGTGATTGATAATCTTATTTATTGCAACAACTTATATTGTTATGACACTTTGAATTGCACATGAGTCCCTTGCTATTACAACTGCATTTGGTTATGGAACACATAAAACACTAATTGCAGCTGCTTCTCACAGCGACATTTCTTGAGAAGAAATTTTATTTGTGGAAAATAACTTTTCTTTACAAGTTACAAACTGATTACGGGTATGAACCTGCTTGAGGATACCTTTTTTTATTTACTAATATATAAAAGTAGGAATCTTCTATTCCCACAACAATTCACCAATTGAACAGGAGGTATCACCAATTTGAGGAGAAGGAAATTTTCCTTTTGAGGTTCGTAACATTTTCGTTGCTTGCAGTAATAGATTTTCTTTCGCTGCAGCTCTTTTTATAGAAATAAACTCATGTTGTTCAGTCAGGGTTTGATATGAGGACATGGCGGGTTGCAACTCCTTTTCAATATTTTCTTTTGAAATATGATTTTCAGTATGGCTACTACTCAAATTTTCTTCCAAAGAATTAACCATTTCTTCGAGTTGTTCTTCGGTTTCAATATTTGCAATTTGTTCGTCAGGCAAAGATGACGATGCTATGCCTCTTTTTGGTTTAACACCAAACATGGCTTCATAAGGACTTTGACGTATTCCTTCGTGGTATGTAGTGTTCTTGGTAAACTGAACAAAAGACAAACCATCTGACCATTTATTTGTGTCATTATCGTTCATCCATGCAGTTAACATATTCTGTATATCCTGATTGGTCCTTTCAGTTGAGCCTTGTGTTTGACTATAACAAGACTTTCCATGAACTATCTTAACATCTTTCCACATAGCGCATAGTTCGGATATAACTTGATTACAGAACTCCCTACCATTATCTGATTGCAATATAGCTGGGGCACYGAATGTTAAAAATATTTGAAGAAGATGATATGCTACTTCTTTAGCTATTTTAGTTTTCAAAGGTCGTAGCTGGACAAACTTCGTTAAATTATCTTGATATACCATTATGAACTTATATTCGCCATCCTTGTGTGACTGCAGGTCTATCAGATCGACTTGACATCTTGAATTTAATTCCGAACTGATTATTGGTTTCGCAACAATACCTTTTTTAGGTGTGCTTTGTTTCATCTGACATTGTTTACATAAATTTAAATACAACATTACAACTTCATATGTAATATTTTTGTATTTAACTTGCAATTCTTTAAGCATACGTGTTCTTCCTCCATGGCCAGTTCTGGTGTGAGTTTCAGATAGTATACTAAACAATTCATCATTGGTAACATAATACTGTATATTTGTTTCTCCTAATTTTAATGGTACAATTAATTTCTTTTTACTGTTAATTTTTATAACGTCAAAACGTTTTAATCGTCTATAATCCAAAGGTGTGCTGCACTTAGTTTTAGCAGAAATCACTTCAGAAAGTATTTTAGAATACTTTTCTTGAGAAAAATAAAAACAATTGTCTTCTCGTTTACTTGCAATTAATGCATGTAACTTTTCAAAAAAAAGATCACGGTTCACTGCAGTATCCATTCAATATAAATTAGGGTATCGGGTAAAAAAATAAAATTTCAATAAACGTTGCACCTACCAGCAAACCTTGCATAAGATTGACAAATAACAATGTTCCAGAGTATAACAAACAGATGCTGCGTGCTTGTTTCAACCTCCACCAAAGCATATCTGTGTTTGTCAACATACATCGGTAATGGTCCGGATGTATAAGAATATACCCAAATATTCGGTCTTTCACCGACGTATTTGGTATGTGTTGATATTCACTATGTGAATCTTTACATTATCCAATTTTGGTCTTTCACGGTAACATATATATTATATTTACTTATACTTAAGAAATTTTTCTTTTTAGAATCACACACACAAGCATTACTATAGTTCAGTAACGAAGTTTGTATATAGGCTTCGTGGGTTTAATAAATATAAAGTGTTGCGACCCAGTATAACAATGT